CCTCCGATGTGGAAGGCGTGTGGCGGCGTTATGATGACGCTTGCAGGGCTGCCACTTGCTCCGATTTTTCGGAAATCGTCCGACTTTTGATCGCCTGTCGGACAAACCGATCGATTTTGTTCACAAAGAGGGACAACCGATTATTCATTCTTCCTTGCTCGTAGTGTTTTAAGTTAGGGTGGGTGGGTGGGTGGGTGGGTGGTTGTGTGTGTGTGTGTGTGTGTGTGTGTGTGTGGGCGCGCGCGCGCGCGTGCGTGTGTGTAGCATTATAGTAATAATGCAGATTAATGGGTGCACACGGCTGCTTCGTGCTACCACTCAAACTATGCTGCTATGAACGTGCGCTGTACGTGCTCACATGGTACTCTATGCATCGTGGCATTCTTTGTGTCATACAACGTGACACTCAACGCGACATTCATTCATGCGCGACGCTCAACGTAGGCGGCATGCGTCGTGGGCACTCAACGTGTCATACTAAAGTTTGGCGTTCATGCGTGTCGCTCACCTCCGATGTGGAAGGCGTGTGGCGGCGTTATGATGACGCTTGCAGGGCTGCCACTTGCTCCGATTTTTCGGAAATCGTCCGACTTTTGATCGCCTGTCGGACAAACCGATCGATTTTGTTCCCAAAGAGGGACAACCGATTATTCATTCTTCCTTGCTCGTAGTGTTTTAAGTTATATATTTCGATTCGTTCTGTGTGCGGATCACTCTTGTCAGATCATTGTGTTTGACTCGTTTGTGAGCTTTGACTCGTTTGTGAGTTTGTGAGCTTTGACTCGTTTGTGAGCTTTGACTCGTTTGTGAGTTTCTTGCTTGCTCGTAGTGCTTCAGAGTTTGTGAGTTTCTTGCTTGCTCGTACTGTTTCACAGTTTGTGAGTTTATTCGCTCCTCGCCGCCGTTGTGCTTTGACTCGTTCTTATCCTTGTCTTCGCGACGCCATGGCTGCCTATACTGACGATGAAATCCGCGCCATGACGGTTCCGCGTCTCCGCAGCAAACTCTCGCTGTTGGATTTGGATACTTCGGGCCGGAAGGCTGCCCTCGTTGATCGCCTGATTCAGGCCCAAGTTCATCACGCTGATCCCTGCGAGTCTGCAGCGAGCACGGCGAGCGGAGCAGGCAACAGAGAACGCGAGCCGTTGGCGCCGTCTGTGCCTCCGACGTCGGCGATAACTCCCGACACAATCCGCTCCACCATAGTATCGGTGGTGTCGGAGACTTTGCCAATACTTCTGGCGGCCATGGTTCCCGATTCTCTGCCTCATAGTCATACGAACTCGACTCCTCTCCCAGCCAGCTCAGGTAGCAGCAAGTCGTTCGCCGCCCACCTGGGAGCTAAACATCGCGAGCGGATTTTGATGGGTGAGTTCGTGGAATTGAGTGAGCTCTTGCCCTCTGTGTCTTGCTCTGTGCCGCACGCCTGCACACAGAACGTGCTCCGTTTTGAGTCGTCGGATGGGGGCCCGTTGCGGGTGGTCGAGGACGGCGCTGCCCGCGGCAAGAGCAGGCACGTTCACGACCTTGCGACGTGGGTGGAAGCCTACACGATCATGAGCCAGGTTACCTGTTTCAGTGTTTTCACAGTTTGTATTTTGCTCGTTCTCATCCTTGTGCTTTGCCTCGTTCCCATCCTTGTCGCGAGCCATGGCTGCCTTCACTGTCAGTGAAATTCGCGCCATGACGGTTCTGCATCTCCGCAGCGAACTCTCGCTCTTCGGTTTGAATAATTCCTCGCCGATCGCCTGTTCCAGTGTACTTCACCACGCTGAATCCTGCCATTCTACCCCGAGGGGGGCGAGCGAAGCAGGCAGCAGAGAACGCGAGTCAGCGTTACTCGCAGCAAGAGTAGGCATGTTCATGATCTTGCGACATGGGTTGAGGCCTTCACCGTCTTGGTCCAGATCATGGTCGACATTGCTTCGCACAGGACAGTGGAGTTGCTGTCCTGTCAAATCCGCATCAAGGCTGCTGCCGACCCATCACTGAAGTGGGACATCATTGAGCCCAGTCTGTGGCAGCTGATATATTTCAGACTGTCTCCAACGCTGCTGCGAGGACGGTATGACAGCTGGTCCATTTAACACACAACCGTTTAGCCCCATGCAGTCGTTTGGGCTAGGCATTGTGCTGGCCGAGAGTTTACAACGCCCTGGCCCTAGCATTGCCAGGAGGGAACTGTTTGCCAGCGACTGGCCCTAGCATTGCCAGAAGGGAACTGTTTGCCAGCGATAATCTATCTTTCTTCTTCAAAGTAAGTTCTGCAACCCCAGGCTATGCAACTCCACACCAAGTTACTAGTACTGGGTACATACTTGTAGCATGCTTTGACCAGCAGCAGCATCCAGTTCTTCGTCTGCACCCAGGCACAGCCCTGTCATCAATCCATCAAGTACTACTATTACTTGGTCTACTTGTCATTGGTGGGGTAAGGAACTCCCACACACACACACACACATCCATAGTGCATCAATCAATCCGGTGCTAGTGCCTGTCACTTTCGAGGTGCACCACCCACGTACTCACAGGCTGGCCTATGCCCATGCTGTTGCAGTCTCCTCCAGTTAGTATGGGGGTTAGCACTGTTGCAGTTCACACTGCCATCCCAACCAGTGTGTATAACCAGCAATTGACGTGTTGCAAGTATTCAAGTGTTCAGTCCAACAGCAGATTTGCTTGGGCCACTCTTGTCCAACCATTTATGTAGTTTTCCAGTATAACCTCAACCTCTTTGGCCCGACGTCATTTAGTCTCTGCCACACTGACAGGCGTTGCGTCCTCAAGCACGAACTCGCCTGCCTTCTAGGCCAACTCACATTCGCTACCCACCCGTACGTTATTATGCTCTGCCTGTCTGACCTTGTCAAGGCCACATCTGAGTTCATCTCACAGAATGCTGCACCTCTCAACCTCAGTCAAGGACGACCCTGAGCTGGTGGCACCAGACTCTGTCAACGTATTGAAGGTTGGCACAAGCCGTTCAGTTCTTCTGTGGTCATGGCACTCATCTGCACCCTCTACTTGTGTCCAGTACTACTTACTGTTTTGAGCATCACACCTGCCAGTCACCTCCAATACCATCGATGATCTGCCCGGACCAAGTTGGATGACTCCAAAACCTTTGCTTCCACAGCTGCGGAGCGACCTGACACCATGGTCTAGCCAATCACCGCAGCAAAGTTCGTCCTTCTATTTGGGCAAGCTCCCTTTGCTGCACGAGCATTTATCCGGCGTGGAATGAGGGACATCGCCAAGGAGATCATCAAGGTAACTGTCTTACTGGTTCTCATCCGTGTTGCTTGAACTCTTGTCAGTATCCTCTTTACCACATGCTGTCTCAATGTACAAACATTTAGTGCCTAGCTACCCAGGGGGCTTTTTGTCCTCGTCCCTCTCTTGGCTCCGCCA